GATGGTAAGTGCACACAGCTTCGCTAAAATGGAGCCACAAGAATGTTTATGAACAACCTCAGATCTTTACCACAGACTCTAGCTGTGAGTATACTGAGCCATCCTGAATTCAACTGCACTGTGCAGTTTTTATACGTCAAACCCCTGCCAAGATATTCTCTCCTCGCCTGCATATGGCATATTCTCTTTTCACATCACGTCTTTATTTTTCCTCCCAATCCCTGTTTCTTTTGAGTCTCTATAGGGGGATCAGAGAGGGCCTTCGCTGAGGAATTTAATTTCTTGAGTCAATGCTAAGAAGTGACTGTGTTCTATTAGAGGAAGCACACTGTTCAGGACTATCGCTGTAGTCCAGTGAGCAAGAAATCTCGCCAACACAAACATGATAAGCTCTGCCTGTCCCGGTTCTTGACAGAATGCTGAAATTGTGTGATTGTTACAGCAGTGAAAATCCCTCAGGTGAAAAATACAACACAGGGTTGCTTCACTGCTGCTCCCACTTGTTTGGCAGATATGGGACTAGACACGTCACGGCCGCACCACAATACATGACAGCAGCAAAATTAAAAGCACAAAAACACGAGATATATTTCAAATCATTGGGAATACATTCACTTAGATATTTTTAATGTGGTTGCTGACAAACATAACAATTTTTAAATCCAATTTTCAGTGACTAAGCTACTTTATTATTCCTCTAATTCAGCAGCTGAGCAGAGTTTTGCACCACATAGTTTAACCTCTAACAAAGTATTCTTTTGTCAGCCCTAATGAAAAACAGCTATTGCAATACAAGGTGATAACAGGTGCAGTAGTAACAGGTGCAGTCATGCATGACAGCAGGGATTCTTCATGATATCTTATCTGTGTTTTTAAAAAGCCCCTCCGGGAGGAGATTCAATAATGCTGATGGGTGTCATGGGAATAGGTGGCTGAAGACATCTTTTATACATGTGCTATCACCTCATATTTTATCCCAAGAACACGCTGTACTTACTTTGCAAAATTAACAGATATGAGCGCATATACCACTAAAAACTGAGAAGTGAACTGAAGGCGCAAATGGTTAAAGGGATCATTTTCCCTGTGCTGTGGTGCGCTAGAACACTGAAATAATCTAAAATGAGACATTATTAACACCTTCCAAACACCTTTGCACAACACAGCTTGCTCGATCCCGCCTTGTGACGTCAAAGCTGTGCCAGAAAAAATAAAACTGGTTCACACTTTCATTGCTAGCAAGAGGGAGAGGAAAACGGATGTAAAGGGAGAAAAGTTCTGCCTACTGTCGAGGCAGACAGAAAGTGAGCAAACTGTAAGTGAGGTCAGGTGTACTTTAGCCTGCTGTTACCACCAGGTGTTAAATCAACAAGTCGGTCGACTGCCGCCAGTCCGCGGGGTGCACACTCAAAACATGCCACACACCCCGTCAAGGTCCCTGTCTCTAAGAGCCTCCCGAAGGAACACGCACATTAAGCATGTCAGCCTCCAACATGGATGTCATTCGGTGCTCACAGCTCATGAGGCAGAGCAATTTGCACAAGCAACTCTGGCTCAAAACAAGACAACCGACGCAGAAATACACAGCTAAGCGTGATGTGCCGGGGACAACTGAGAACCATCAGTCCAAGAGGCTGACATGCAACATGCACATGGTCCATTAGCACACACACAGATACTCCTTTCCTGCCTCTTCTCTTCTATGAAAGGAAATCAAGTTAACAAGGCTGCTTTTGACTGGCATGCTCGCTGCATCACAAGTCACTACCTATAAAGCTGAGCACACACTGAAGCACAACGCTGACATATTACAATAAAACGACACAAGGGGACATCTTCGACATTCATTCATTACAAGCTCTGCACTCGTTCAGGCTTAACCCAGAGGACCCTTGTGGCAAAAAGAGAGTCTGCGTGGAATTACATGAGTTGTTAGGAGCTGTAGGTCACAGGTACAGACTGAACAGCTGTGCTCCTCACACAGGCTACAGCGTCAAGCAGGGAGCACAGTAGTAGCAGGATCACTGCACCGCTACAGCTGACCACATCAAAGGCCTCCGCTGTGTGAAGTGAGGAAGAGAGGAAAGGGACAGTTTCACTTCCACAGCTGTCTGTGTGCACATATTGGAGTAAATATTGGTAAAGTGAGACTGTTGTTGGGTAAAGTTTACTTTCCTGTCGCACTGCAGGATGTAAGTGCTGTAAATATGTCTGTGATTAGTTTCCCCTTCAAAACATTTTATATTTTTAAATCCAGATTCATTAAAAGCCTCTTACATGTAACAAATTAATGTTGTTCTAACTTGCTGCCGGTTTAAAGTGTTTTTCAGCTTATCTGTCCATCCACATGTCCCTCCATCTCAGTGGGATGCTCAAAGGTGACAGTGTTTGTCATATTCCCCAGAGCACTGCTGAGGTGCCATGACAAACAGTATTTGGAAAGGATGAGCAAAATTTCATTCAAGTGTCAGTCATCAGATGAAAAGGCACAGCCAAAGTCAGCTACTTTGACCTCCTTATTTATCTCTGACAGAAATGTGTTGTTGCAATTCAATTTCTATGGAGAGAATTCAGAAAAATCACAGAACTCGTAGCAGTGGTTCTCAAACTTTTTCATGTCAAGGATCCCTAAATCGATACAGATTGGGTCACAGACCTTTTTTGTTGTTAGATGTGATGAAGACCAGAATAGTTTAGTTTTCAACCAGGGATGTCTGCTTCAGTCAATTTTGCTTTCGATAGCCTGAAACCGGTGACAACATGGTGTTGCTGCCGTGCAGGGTGGCCCCCGAGGTCGCCCAGGTAAATAAGCGGCTTCACTTTGAGCCGCAAAACTCCTTTAGCACCGTTAACTATATTAGCACCACCAGCCATGGTGACACTGCTAATGGCACTAACAGAGCTTGAACCTTGGGTCCCTGGAACAATGGCTGAGAACCACAAAGTTAGAGATAAAATGGTATGAAATTTTGATGTTACGATTATAGTGACCAAAGTTTTCATTGTTACTGGTATTATCACAGTTTTATCAAAATGAAAAAGTATTGATACACACAACTGAAGACCAAGTTTTATACTGTAAACCACAAATAAAGCAGCACTGTGCACTTTTAGTTTTTGTAAGCATTAAAAAAACATAGCCAAAGATGCAGACTCCAAAATTCTGAGCCAATACCCATGTTTAAAATAAAAATTTGGCCGATAGCAGATGCCATCATCATACAGAGTGCCGTCTCTTCTGAATATTAATGATTAAAAACAAACAAACAAACAAAACAACTTCATTACCACATAGCCGCCTTCTCAGTCAGATGCATGCTTTTCTTTTCAAAGATAAGCATATCTGTCTTATCTCTCTTCTCATCAAAGATGTAAGACATAGAGCTGTACAGACACTCACTCAAAGCAAACGTGAAAACAAGGCACACATGCACATGGCACGCACTGCCGTCTCACATCATGCCAGAGTCGGTCCAGCCAGTGACTTCCTCTCTGAATCAGCAGCTAGGTATGCTAGCTACTGTTATTGGGGTTATACCTCAAAAAACTATCACAACACTGTGATAAGACAGAGAAACATCGGCCACAGACTTTGGCGATTATCGTCTTATTTGCTGATTGGCCAATGGCAGTCAACAGGGCGACCAATGTCAGCTGATAAACCAATGCATCCCTAGACAAAACCTTATCTGAAAACGGTATCAAATCAAAAGTTGCTAACTTCAGTCCATGTTGGAGAGTATTTACCATGAGTTTTTCAAAGGGTGGTATTCAAACACAGTTTTAGTATTAAAAAAATTTGAAATGGTAATACTAACCATCTGGGAATTTACCGCAGTTTATCATAAAGGTGGTAACTTACTGTAAAAATGATAAATGATTTCTCAGATCTTTAAACAGCAGGAGTGGCTTTAGGACAAGTCGTCCGCTCTGATACTGAACTGGGTCATGCACATTAGAGGATGTTCACCCACTGACTCACACGCAGTCAAACTTTATCCTGATTTAAAGCAGCTGCCACTTCTACATCTACTGCCTGACTTCATCAACCCTGGAGAATCCCGACCTAAAAAGAAAAACTTTATATCAGCATTAAAAAGTGTGTCCATATTTGAAGTTGAACCATGAAACACATTATTGAATGTCATAAATTCTGGTCAGTTAACTTCCAAACTGTGCAGCACGGAGCCCATAGGAAGATCACAGAAGCTATGACGGCCATAAATCTGAAATAACTTGAGCAAGCAGAAGTTGAGATTACGAACCAACCAGGAGGCGGCTTCTGAGAGACTTCTACAGTGAAACTAAGAACAGTTAAACCTTTAATAACGGCGGCATGTGAAGACAAGCGGAAATCTAAAAGCTGCACTCGCCATGGGAAGCTGTTTTCACATCTCATGAATGTATTTTCTAAACAGACTGATCAAAAGAATATTAATAACTATTTTAAGATTTTCTCAAGCAGTTCAAAAAGCTTGACCTTATCTTCCATCCTATCGAATTATTGCTTAACCTTTCACCTTATTGAGTTCTACTTTCATTCCAAACACAATAATGTTATATTATATTTATGGTTTCTGAGCACTTTCTATGAAACAATAATGGCTGTGCGCTTCCTGACAAGAACACTGGGTATTACTGCAGCTCTGGAGGCAGATCGCCTTGTGCTTTTATGTTTTTCAACACCAAATAAATCTCACATTATGTTAGAGACAAGTGTGAATTCCTGAGCAGATTAGTGTCGCTTGACTGGTGTGGAAAGTATACTTTAGCTACAGCTAAGCCTGTGATCATCAGGACTATTTAAAGCAACAGCGTGCCAACTGTGGAGGGCGAATAACATCCAAGGAGCAGTTGAGATTTCAGCAGATGTTAGGTGTCATATTATAATATGTATTTGGAAGGAACCTTCACTGTCGAACATGTAATTAATTTGCACATACATTCAACAGTGTATAACCACATCTCTCGCTCTGTCTCTCTTTCATCCTCTGCTACAGATCCCTCAGGTGAGCTACGCCTCAACAGCTCCGGAGCTGAGTGATAACACCCGCTATGACTTCTTCTCCCGCGTGGTGCCCCCAGACACGTACCAGGCCCAGGCTATGGTGGACATTGTCAAAGCCATGCGCTGGAACTACGTCTCCACTGTAGCCTCCGAGGGAAACTATGGGGAGAGCGGCGTTGATGCGTTTATTCAGAAGTCTCGAGAGGACGGTGAGTGTTTCTTCAAATACTCCTACAAGCCTCCTAGAGTTTGTTCAGACTGATGTGAAAGTGGTTCTCGCTATGTGAATCTCATTTTGTGAACCAGTGAGAATGTGTCCCTGTGATTGGACAAAACTGAGACTCTCAAATATGTTGTATTTGAACAACTTCCTGTAAGCAAACTCACTGTGAAAACAGTCCAGTTCAGTGATTTACTTTATTATGACGACATCTGATTTAACGTGAGGCATAATTTAAAAAGATGCAGGGTTTGTTTGTTGCTGAAGGATCCTGTGTTTACATGTTGGGATGTAAAGCTTCACTTACATTTGATTAACTGAATATGAAGAAGCAGCTTATCTAATTAGCTACTGTGTTGTCTGTAATTCTAAAGCTGCAACACGCTGTGGAAACTGGTGAAGAGATGAAAAATGGCTGAAACCGACAGCTGTCGATGATGCCTTTAGTTAAATCAAATTACTTTAGAAGCCAATCATGCCATGACAATAATGTATTGTATCTAAAAATATACACACAATTATAACGTGTGCGCTAAAGGCCTTTTTAGCCCGGTTTCCACCGAGCAGTACAGTACAGTTCAGTTCGGTACGCTTTTTATTTCCATTTCCACTGTGAAAAGTTGTGGATGGTACCAATGGAACCGTTCCATACCGTCCCCATTTTTGGTCCCCCCTTCTGTTGGGGTACCTAGCACACTGATCTGGTACTAGCCAGATAACCAGATATTATTATTGCAATATTCAACAGGGCCTGTGCAAAATGTTATGAATGGATTTTAAATTGACTGTATCAGTATGTTGTGTGCACCCATTCCCTAGCAAAGAGGCAAACTCTACCTAAAACACGTCATTTAATTTAACTTAAAAAACCTTCACAGGAACCTATTTGTCACCATTTGCATGTGGGAATTATGGTGTGTGACACATCACATTATTTTACACTATTTATCATTTAAATGAATGTGTTATTGGTGCTCTGATGTAATTTAAAAAAAAAATTAAAATGAATCTTTGAATAATTTTGTTAAATATTTCATGAGTAATAGTTGGTTGTCAATGTTATTTGAAATCAGTAAATAAAAACAAACATTTATGTTGTGATAAGAGTGATAACACATGTTATAAAGGCTATTGTACACAGATATATAAAGACGGGTGTGCTTTGAGATTTTGGCTTGTCCTTTAAAGTCCGAAAACCACTGATCTCGTCTTTTTTCAGGATATGGATATAATATCAATATATTGCCCAACCCTAAATTAAATTAACTTGAATTGCACTGTAAAGAAATCTTGTGAAGACATTTTACATCAGTACTTAAACAGTTTAACAATGTTGTAGAGATGTAAATGTTTAGTGCAACTTTATATATTTTTAATAAAACATAGACCGCTGGGCATGATTTATGCTGAAGTCTTAATTCTTCCCCTGAAATCTGACTTTGCACTCAGCTCCTGACTCTTGTCCCCAGGGAATACTTGTATCTGCTACACAAGTGCATAACGTAGACGCAGTGCTAATTGAATTTGATTCTCGAATATCAAGAAGCAGTGACAGTGTGAAAGTGAGGCTGTGGAGCCAGCCTGGAGCAACACGAGAAGATGGCAGTGTACAGTGTTGGGAATACAGTCAGTTTGGCGCAGATAGCTGCCGGCACACACTCAGTGTGACCTCTGACCCCTTCTGAAGCAGAATGTAATCACTACCGACATGTCCAGTACTCTCTGTGCCACTGCGTCCCTTTCTTTCCTGCCAGCTCTAAGCTGCTGCCCATCATCAGTCGTCCTGGAGAAGCACCAGCAGCAGATTACTCCTGCAGAGCCCTCCAGTCTGTCCAGCTCAGCTGCCTATTTGCCTAACAGCCCATGCAAAGGGAACTCAAAACCCAACACGACAGTTCCAGTATGATTGGAGCTTTTTCCTCTCTTTTTTTGTGTGGAAACATTCTCTCATTTAGCTCTACTTTTAAACACACTGGGATTTAATGCTAATTAAGGCCTAACCTTGCATAAAAATTGAAATATTTTGGTATGAGCCTTCCCAAATTCCTAAATTCCCATAAAAAGAACAGACACAAGGAGGAGAAAGCCTGTGAGTACTCAATGGTAGCAATGGCCTCTACAGTTTTGAAGAGGTTTAGATAGGTGTGTGGAAAATGATAATGAAATGAATCCCCTTCAAACTGGTGTACTTTTCTTCAAGGGCAAAAATCCAGTCTGTTTGATAAAAAGTTGGTTTAGTTGAGAGCTTGGTACCATCTATTTTTTTCCATGCAAACCACCATGGGAATTAAAAACAGTTTTACACAGATGCAGGTATCTGTGAAAGGTGGAAATCAAATATCAAATAATTGCGAAACAGTTAGTGGCACTACATAAAGACCACAAGCCAGATTTTTAAAACATTGAAATAAGACTGGTATGAGATCGGAAACTTTGTTATGCCTTAAAGGTCATAAGTATACAATGCATTTTAGGGATAAACAAAGCTGTGCTGCTCTGACTCAGATGAGTAACCCGCTATGCACAGATGTCTCTGGATCTGCTGTTTTCTTTTGCTCAAAATGTCTCACTCTGAGCACAGGTGAAGAATCCCTAAAGCTGCCTCCAATTCACTCAGCGCAGCCTTTCATTAAATCAAACCCAAACTGAGTCATGAATGCTTAAAGCCCTGCAAACTTCTCCTTATTCCACCTGTTCCCTCTGCAGCTACAGAGATCTGATACTTTCTGTGGGATTTTGTTGCATTTGGTGATGTCATTTCACAGCATGCCTCCCTAGGTCGCAACCTAATTAGAAATGTTTTGTAAGCATCCCAGGAGGAGCTGCAATATGCTTGTTGTATCATGTCGGTCAGGGCGATACATGTATTTTTAGCATGGTGGTTTGGGTGGTATGGTGTACTCGGATTAAATAAGTGTTTTGGGGGCCTGATTACAAATGAAAAACTATTGTGAGTACATTTAGTTTAATTTACAAAGTATGTTTAGTAAATGCAGCTACTGAACACAGCAACTGTTTGTTAACTTTGGTGTTTCTGACTACATTTGAAATAGTTTTATTATCGTCTTATGACTTGATGTCTGAAACTCCTCCAACACCTGTGCATGTGCAACCATTAGAACTTCTCTGATTAAAGTATAAATCATTTAACTACAGTGGCCAGAGGGAAAACTACACTACAGCCGCCCAAAACATTTCCAAAACATGCTGCAGCTTCAAGAATGATGCCACTTCAAAAACACATACGAAAATCTAACACAAATCAAATATCTGCAAATGAGAAAAACGTGCTGCAGAAAGCCAAAACAAACACATTAACAGCAAACATGCTGCAAATACAGAAATGATATTAAGTCAAACACACACACACACACACACACACACACACACACACACACCCAAGAAGAAATGCAACAGAACAATGCTGCATATCCATTCAACACAACAGAAGCTCTCCAGGCCACTAGGGGGAGCTCTAAGTGGAACAGCATGATTTTCAACCAGTCCGAGACCAAATGAGAAAGTGTTTACTTAGGAAGGAAAGAGGAAAAGTGGAGTAAACAGATGACAAAAAAAGTATGTATTTGACCTTTACATTTGGCCGTGGTCTTTTACAGTATTTTTTAAAAAATAGGGATAAACGATACGATCAGCATGTCATCAGTAGCGGCTGATATTAGCTTTGAAATGAACTATTAGAATCGGCCAACATGCTTTTTCTTATTATGCACAATGAATGAATATAACATACATTGAAAATATTGTATATCATGTCTCCATCCGCTGGTGGGCCATCACGATAAGAGTATGCATAATATGATGTTAATTCCACTACAGAAGAGACTTGATGATCACTAAAATTAGGTGGGGATCTATCGATGTTGGTATCAGTTATCAGCCAAATAAGTTGTCAAATATTGGCATAACAGATTTCGGCAAAAAGTCAAATATTGTGCATCCCGATAAAAAAGCAAAAGGTTTGCATAGCTACGTAAATCAAGCTGTTACACTTACTGCTCCCCCTAGAGGACAGTAGCACTTTACCGGAGCATTTTACTGTTGCATTTCTCAACAGGGCTGGTGCTTCCCATCTAGGGGGCATTCACAGAATGTTAAGGGGCGCTGGGAGAGTAATTTTGGAAGGGGGGCATTGAGTTGTTCTTGGGGGGCATTTTTGTATATCTGATTTTTAACGCAAGTTTTGTCCAACATGCACATTCTCACAATGTTATCATTAGACTAGCTTATACAACCATCATCTTAAGCTTTCCCTGTCAAAGATGAGGTGTTTCTTTCTACATCACTTGTGCACAGTTTTTCGTTGTATACTGTGGAACAATGTGCCTGGTGCATCAGGCACCTGCCACCTGCATGTTGTGTTTTTCCTTAACATCAACAGATATTTAGGCCATTGCTGCATTAAAATTGCACCAGAATGCAGGAAATGAGGTGTTTGACATTCAAACTGTCCTATAAGGTGCCTCTCTGATTGGCTGCTGCTTGTGATCGGTAATGAGACCTATTACAGTTTCAATGTCAAATTTCTAACCGTTCCATTTGTTTAACACTCATAGTATAATTTCTATTCACATGGCTATTTTTACTCCCCAGGAGAACAGTATAATCAAATCAGTTACTTGGCATTCAATTACAGTCTTTTTTTTTTAAATTTTGATATAACACAGAATGATAATCAACACTTAAATTCAGGGAAGATGATTAGCCTACATTTTAATTTAGGGGAAGTGGAAAGGGACCTGGAAAATGGATAGATTGAGAACCACTGCCATAAAGAGTCCATGGTACCAAGAAAAGCAAACATAAGAATGACAAACCGCCTATGAGTTGATGGTCTTGAGTCATGCAGCACTTTAAAATCACATCTTATGATGGTATATGTACACACACATGCATTTTACATATTCTTTTAATGGTGCATGGCAGCAACTCGTGATTAAATGTCTGAAATGTAAATTCACTCAAAGCTTA